TCCCCTTCTTGGGCCTCTGTTAATTCATCGCTCATAGCTGGGTCTTTTGCTCCTCTGGGGTGGACCCTTGGCATCTGGCAGTCAAATAGGTGCTCCTTCAGCATTTCTGTGTCTTACCAGGCCCACTGTTGGAAACCCAGGTGATGAGATCAAAGACTCGAGGCAAGGCTGAACATAGGGTCAAAAGGGCAGTTGGGGGACCCTGATGAAGTATCCCTCTGACTGAGCACCCCAGGCTGCCTTTCGTCTGCTGAAGGTCCTCCGGGTCTTCTTGGGAGTTGGGCATTCTGTAGACTCCCCAGCTCTCTTCCTCTGGGGAGGTCTTTTCAGCTCCAGGGCTGTGTGGGATATTCACAACATGCTGCCAGATCAGCCCAACAAAATTCATGCATTACTATGATCATCTGTAGTGTTTCAGATTGCTGCTTGTGTTCTGTTTTCCATGTCATTGGAACATGTCATTCCATGTGCTTCCTGTGTAGAATGGATATAAATTCAAATGAGTGTAGATAATCTCTAGGCCATGTTCTCCTTTCTTTTACTACAGCTTACATCTTCCTGTTGGTTTTTTTCTTTTAAACAAGTGATCACCCCCACCCCTGTATACTTGTCACTCTTTACAGTACGATTGTCTCCATGTTTACAATTCACTGAATGTCTGTTGACAGAATATTGTGCTCCTGGTTTAGAATTTTCATCTAAAGAGGAATTCAGTGGCTTATTTCCTACCAAAAAAGGGCTGAGGAGAATGTATTACTTCAACTGTACCACATCTGTATTGGTGTACGATGTGCCTCTGGGACCAATTTGAAGTGCTAATTATTGTCTTCAAAGTCTTAAGTCATGTATCCTTTAAAAAAAAAGCACCTTAGCACCTTCCTTCCTGTTTTTCTGATTATGAGCTGAAACTTTATTGCTATGTTCCTTCATCCTGATCGATCTATGTGCTTTTCATTATTAAGTTGTTCTGCTAGTACAATTAATCTGAAACTGTTTGTCTTTACCAAACAATTAGAATAATGCAATACATACAATGTACTCTAGTCAATAATATATCCCCTCTTTGACTCACTTAAATAAAAGATATACATATTGTCATTCACTTATGAGTATATATACAGTATGTTTCTTAAATCCAGTTACTAATAAATAATTTTCTCTGTATTTAGCCATACATTTCTGATAAGTTTGATTAAAACATAGAAAAGTTCCTTCTTTGTAGTGCCATGTGTTATAGTTCACTACCCAAGTAACTTGAGTTGTGTTTCATCAGTTAGTGGGGAAAAAACAACATCCCCTAAACACACACTTTTAACATTGTATTTGAATAATTTGTATTTATTATTTCAGGTGGTTTAATTGTGTTGCAGGTTGTTGCTTTGTAAAATGGAAACAAGATACTAGAGTTTATAAAATAAGATTCAATCCAGGCTAGCATTAGTAGGATCAAAGGGGGCATTTGAGGGTTTGCCTGGAAAAGTACTCAATCATATAAGTTGTTTCCAAAACAGGATCAAATCACTATGCTTTTATATTTTATTTTACAAGCCCCATCTAAGTTATGATCAACAGCAGTTCCTAACTGGGGCAAAAGTGCCCTTGGGTGCTTTGAAATCCAGTAATGACTGCCATGATTCCTCCAATCCCATCTACCAGATGCATAACGTAATTATGAAATATGTACAGTCTTAGCTGACATTAACTCAAAAGAAAGAAGTACTCTGTGTAAGTCTTCAGGTATATTTGCCACATGTGGACTTTATCACCTACACAAACCCTATGATTTCTTAATGACTCCTCCAAATGGTTGCTTCTGCATCTGTGGGAAGCAGGGTAGGCTGTGCTTGGATGTCAGGTGGTGAATATAAGATGCACTGGATCAGCGCAGGAGATTCTGCTTCAGTGTACGGAGCCAATTGGATTACTTTTAGAACATGAGCCTGTAAGCCCTGAGTTCCCAGCTCACCTCAGCTCAATTTCCCAATATAATAATTAAGCTGTAGGTTTTTGTTTTTTGAGCATTCAGAGTGCACACTGTTTTGTCTTAATTCTTACAATAAGCCAGTTAAGTGAGGTTAGTATTATGATCCGTGTGTTGCATATGTGGGGTTGAATTTCAAAGTGGGAGCACAGGGGGAACTTCTTCATATATTACTTTAGGGATAGATAATGGTAAAGATAACATTTCCAGTATAATAATGAGCTAAATAAATGATAAAATCTTGCAACTTCAACATCTCAAAAATAATATATATTGAGGGTTTGTGGTTATTCAGATATGTATACAATGCAATCAATTGATTGGTTAAAAGGCGGGTGATAAATCAACCTTTTTTTTAATTGGATGACAGCCCAGTAACAATAACAATCTATTTTGTAGGATAGTAGGAACTTGTGTAGATATTATTGCTAATGATAATCAATGGCCTACTTTGGATCTTTAGTGCTACGATTCCATGAATCCTGACTTAAAGGAATGTATATAAAATAGAATGTAGTGGTTACTGAAATAATCACTATCAACTCAATTATATAGGTCAGAGGCCAAGGACTGTTACAATATGGACAATACAGAACATTTCTCAGGATTTTCCCCCTTTGACTTCTGGGGAAGAGTGTAACTGTTATGTTGCTAGAGAAATTAACATTGAGTTTTAGGTTTCATATTAACCTTCCAGCTTGCATAGCCTGGATTGTGTCATCCATTGCTGGACATATAAGCCAATTAATTATTGCAGACATCTACCAGAGCAAGTACTCAGGAGGTTAATCTGTTTAATTGTGGACCCAAAATGTCTTAACAAAAGCTGTTTGCAGCATGTCTGGCAGCACCTGAATCTGTGGCAGGCCAAAAACAGTATAGTTCATTCACGTAAGTGACACACTGTGCATGCTGTCTAGTAACCACACATGCTTCCAGATGGATGGCCCCTAGTGCCACGAGTCAAAAGATACTGTATAATTATTCTGTCTTTCCTCCTTTAATAGAGGTGGGGTTTTTTTTTGTTTTTGGTAAAAAGAAAGCAGACAAAAGCTCTGGGAAAACATAGGGTTTCAAGCAAAGGATGGCAACATATGGGGACTTACATACCTATCACATTCTGTGAATGAGGCAGAGTGATGACCTTCGCTGGAACAACCCAGGAGCAAGAATCTGGCCTAGTCTATGTGGAGACAGTTGACCAACCCAGCCTTTTCCACTTGAATGCACAGAAGCCCACACAGTTTCACAAAACTCCCATTGATATTAGTGTTTCTTTTCTTCCAAGTTACCTATTTAGAATCAGAGTGATAATAGGTTACTGTAAAGACATAATTTGTTAGCTTTTAATTCACTATTAGATGAACAGATTCACCCGAAATTTATTTATTTATTTATTTAAAACATTTTTATGCCACCCCCATTGCAACAAAGCCTCGGGGTGGCTTACAACAAAAACAAAGTTATAAAAATATTAAAACCCAGTGCATCTCGGCTTAAAAATTTTAAAATCCTACAAATAGCCAATAAATTAACACTTAACATAAGTTTTAAATAAAAAGGTCTTAGCCTGGCACCAAAAAACAAATAACGAAATTGGCTTGATTGGCAATCTCTTTTAGTTAATTTCATTTCTATAATAATCACAATAATCAGATTGCAGTAGTGAGCATAAACTTTCAATATCAAAACTCAGACTAAAGCTAAAAAGATCACTAGTAGAAGCATAGCAAATACAACTTCAATAACATTCTTGAAGAATTTAAAGTCCACATAAAGAACAAGTTTGCATTACTGAACTCCGCTGACTGAAGAGTTATGGACTGAAACCAGAGACATTATTAAAGAATGCCAAAAAAAAAAAAAAAAAATCTGCAGCAAAAAGAGAAAAAGCCTGGATGGATGCAGAAGAAACACAATTGCTAAGAAGAGAAGCAAAAATTGACTGATATAGGGTCAGAGTCCTGAATGCATCTTTGCTCTAAAATCGTTTGGATGTTAATAAAACACCCAAAATAGATAGGGGTACCAAAAGAACTATTAAATGCTGTAGACTAAATTTCAGATACAGAGACTGAGATACTGAGAAATGTAGTAACTATAGAACAATTGCATTAGTTCTTTTTGCAAACAAAGTGATGTTCAAGATATTGCAACAAAAAGTTTTGGAAGACCTTTAGAATCCTGACCTTCAAGCAGGATTCCAAAAAGGAAGAGGTACTCAAGATCATATTGCAAATAGAAGTTGGCTGCTAGAGCACACCAAGAATTTCAGAAGAGGATCAGGCTATGCTCTGTCGACTATAGCAAAACCTTTGCATGGATCACAGGAAACCTTAAATGGTTCTGAGAAATGGATGTACTTCAGCATTCGATGGTCCTGATCTGTAACTTGTATCATAGACAAGAAGCTAATGTTAAGGCAGAATATGGAGAAACTAAATGGTTTCCTATTGGCAAAGACTTCATACAAAGGTGTATTTTATCTCCCTCTCTGTTCATTCAAAACATTACAAGGAAAGCTGATTTAGGATGAGAGGAAGTAAGAGTAAAAAATGGCATGTTTATTTAGGCATTGTGTGAGGAGTGCTGACAGAGTGGGTTGCTGGTTCTAAATGTGTAATGCAAAGGATTGGGCTACTGGGGTATGATGATAGAATGGAAAGTTTTGAGAGACTGTAGAAGTGCTTTAGCAGGGGATGCAATGTTTTACTAGATGATTATAGGAAGGAGATAACCTTATTTAAACAGTATTTTAAACTCTTAATAGTTTTTTTAGTTTAGTCGCTCTGTTTGGTTTGTTTTGTTCTATTATTGATATTGTTGTTTAATTGTCCTTTTAAAAATTGTAAGCCGTCCTGAGATCTTGTATAATAGGACGGCATACAAAAGCTTTTAATATATAAACAAATAAATAACTGAAAGCGAAAAAGAAAAGCACTACACTCTAAGCAAGAAAAGATGGAGGGATAGTTACTGACTAATAGTATGTTTCTCATTCAGCTTTTCTTTCATCCAGGCTTCTGTTGAAGAATGGTGGTTGGTGATGACTGCTCTACAGAAATTGCTGAAGCACTGGATCTGTCTCTCTACCTCTTCCCATGGTTCAGGGGGTTGTTTTGCAGGCTGTATGCCACAGTGTGGGGTGACCAATGGATCTATGAACCCCACTGGAAAGGCACATGGGAAAGTAGCATACAAGGTGTGACACAAAAATAACTGGATTAGTAATAAAAAATATTTATGGATGAATTACAGCATTCTGAACATTGTCACCTTCTATATACCCCCCTCCCGATCTCTACACCACTCCATACGTATTTTCCATTGATTGAAACAGTGCTGGAAGTCTTCTTGTGTGAGGCTCTTCAACAGGCTTGCCGTTTTTGTCTTCACTTCATCCATTGATGCAAAACATGTTCCCTTCAGGTCATTTTTATTTATTTATTTATTTATTTATTTATTTATTTATTTATTTATTTTTATTTATTAAAACATTTCTATGCCGCCCCTTGCCAAGGCCTCGAAAATCGAAAATTTTTGATTTTCGGGAACAAGTAAAAATCACAGGGAGCTAAATCGGGTGAATAAGGAGGATGATCAAGGACAGGAATGTTTTTTTCCACTCAAAAACTGCTTTACGGAAAAAGCATCATGCGCAGGAGTACGATGTTGATTCGCTGTTCGATTGTCCCCCCTCCAACATTATCGTGGCAACACGTGTAGCGAGTGTAGTTTGAATACTGACTGGGCTATTCATAGGATACACCTAGCCAGTTGAGGGTTCGAGAAGGCGTTTAGGAAGAGATACAGTTCTATGATGTACGTCTAGCCAACCTCCAGACCATTTTCCAGGAAAGCCCTAAGCGCAATCCGGTTATTTCTGTGTCTCACCTCGTATCCAAGGAAGGAAGGGAATGCTCAGGAGGGTTAAGGAAGGAAAGAAACTGCCATGGTAGCATGTAGGCCATTCTTCTTTGCCTTGCTTATTCATTTCCTCGTATGTGAACTCCTGTGCCACTTTGGTGGTGCTGACCATGTCCCTTGAGAGTTGCACTTGTTGCCTTTGTACTTGTGAAGGGGGCATACTGCCCACCAAATGTTTGGCAATGGCAGTTTGTCCTCTGTTGGTTTGTTCCCTGGATCTTCGCACTCTTTAGCTACAAGTCTTGGTTGCTGTTGCGGTGGTTCCTCAGTGAGCACTTCACCAGCTGCAGCTGTGCCTTTGGTTCCCGCCCCCAGCCTCGTCTCTCAGAAAGCCAGTGAAGGACAGGTTGCTTGGCTCTGAAGAAGCATACCAAGTTGAGCATGGTGGATGGTCACTAACCTGCGTTCTTTGGGTTCATGCTGCAGTGTTGCCAGCCTGGATTCTTTCTTTGCAAGGGGAGGAAAATATGTTGGGCTGTTTGTATTATTGGCATTAATTGGACATTATTGGCAAATTTGTCCCCTGAAGGTGGAGTGCAGGCTGGTTGCAGCAGAAGCAGGGATGCACTGTAGGTTCAAAGTAGAATAAGTTTTGGGGCAGCCCAGGATTTGGGTGTCTTGAAATCCTTGCACATGGGCTCTGCACATATGGGATGTCCTGGAGAGGATTATATGTGCAGTATAAGGCTCCATATATATCTTGACTTTCCTGGAGTCAGGGAGGTTGGAGACTGGCAACTCTTCATGGGCCACTATCAGCTTCTCTGTAGGTGGTTGAAAGGAATTCTGCTGCTAGTGATATGACTGGCCATCTTATCCCTCTGATTTTTTCATAGAATGGCAAGTTGCATTGCTTGACACCTGGCCATTTGTTGTGATTTTCTTAAATATTTTCTTCAGGCCATACTACTTCTCCTTATAATAGTATCCCTATAGTAACATCTTCATGGAAAGCCAGGGGAACAGTTTATTGTACCTGGTATTCTGGAAATACTCCTGGGCCCCTGGGCTAAACCAGAGATCTATGAATATGCCTAGTCAAGCCTATTCTGAAAATGTGTGCAAACTCTCTCACACACTTGGCTAGGCCCCCAGGTACATGGCAAGCAGACTCAGGATGTGTGCATGGAGGGATCTTGATGGTGAATGGTGGTGAAGACTCTGTCCTCTGCAGGAACCATGCTGTTGTCCAGGGAACAAATGACCAGAAAGCAAATGTTGTGGCTTTGTGGGCTGCACCTGCTAAAATACTTGCACCCACTGCTTTTGGCCTAAATTCTGATCCCCACAGACAGAAAGGGCCACTATGAGGAAGGACGTATGAGAACTCTAGTGGCTAGGAGCAATCAGCTATCAGTAATGGGAATATTTCCGCAAAAATGGGTGCTGGTAATATCAGCATATATTTTTCAACAAATGTTAAGCAGTTTTATACACAACATAATGTTATAGAATTGTACAATATGAATTCCCAGATGACTGCATAAATTGTGCTTTCCAATTAAATATAGGATATATTATATTCCAATAAAAATATAGGCACCTGCCCCCCATATTAGGGTATATCCTTTAGGAAACATTGCTCTTAGGGAGGGGCAGAGGAAGGATGACTTGGAGGCACAAGTAATAGCGGGAAAACAGGCCTCTTCAAAGTTGCTGTGCAGATTGCATGCAGCTGACTCACATAAAAGAGCAAAAAATGAACTTTGCTAAAAAGCAAAGTGGCAAAGGATTGTGGGACTTGGGGGAGGAGATTGTGGAGAAAGGGGGAAAGGTGTAGGTTGCCATAGCACAATATGTTGCTAGGCAGCCTTTGGTTAGCTAGATCATAGAATCATAGAGTTGGAAGGGGCCATGAAGGCCATCAGGTCCAAGCCCCTGCTGTTGCAAGACACCAGGTTACACCATCCAATTCAGATGGTTTGTAATAAGAGGTGCAGCTGCTTTTTTCCTTTCCTTTTTTCTTTTTGGCCATTATTGCCCAACAAGAAGCCACGATGAAATTGGTCTTCCAGGTTTGGACAACAGGACAACCTATGAAAGCACCTAGGAAAAGGCATGAGTTGTCAGGGTTGCTTACTTGTGAAAATTATGTGGCCCAGCATATGGCCTGAAAACACACAAGTCATCCATCAAGCTGAAGCTAAGCAGATCTGGAGCTGGCCTGAGCTTGGAGAAGAGACCACTTGAGAACTGCATGTAGCCACCATGAGTTCCACAATGAGAGAGAGAGATGGGGTATAAATATACATAAATGAAAACATACATGCATAAAATTAAGCCACCTGATTCTATATACACCAAGTCTGAATGACACCACAGCCCACCATGGCTAGCAGCCTACAATGGCTTCTTGTATCCTGCAAACCAGGTTCATGTGATCTTTTCATTGTATAGATATCACTTTATTATCCTAAGCTTTAGTCCTTCCATTTTTAAAATGTGTTGTTGGTGCATTTTAGAGTGTTGTACAGCTATCATCCTTTGCTATTGCTTTGGTTTTATTCTGTGGCTGTTTTTATGTATTTTAGATTTTGGGGGCACGTTTTGTTCTTATGTTTGCATTTTATTTATTTAACTTCCTTTTCTACCACCCCAAGAACTTCAGCTAATGGGTGGCATAGAAATTAAGGGTGACATCCTATGTAACTCAGTAAGTAGCAGGCACCCAACTGAGTGCTAGAGAAGTGTAGAAGCTAAGATTGCCTCTGTGCTCCTGTCACCCTTCCAAAACATTTAGGTGGCTGATCTTGACTGCCTAAATATATTCCCCTCCTCATAAGAAGGAAAGGCTGAGGCACTGCCAGGCGTCTTCAAAGGATGGTGGTGTCTCACAATGGTGGTACCCTGACCAGCTACAGGGACCTGTTGCAAGGAAAGAGCCATATCAGCTTCCATGGCAGAGGGAGGGTTGTCCAAAGATGGATTCCCCAGTGCAACCTTGCAGGGCTTTTCTGAAATTAGAGCAGGGACGCTTATCCTATGGTTGGCTAGACACCATCTACTGGCTGTAGAATTGTACCCTAAATGTAGAAAGTAAAATAGATTGACTAATAACCTGACTCATTAGCTGCTTTATATAGCTGTCTCTTGCCTATCTGCTTCCACTCCTTTTGAGTCCTTTTTAAGACATGGATCCAATATCAACTTGTAAGAAATTCAGTCATTACGTCTTAAGCAGAGTTGAATGATTCTCATATCTTTATTCCTTTCTGCCAAGTAATGCACTATAGCAATTAATACATAAGACACTAGGCCATATTCAGATGAGGCCTATTGAAGTGACATTAAAAATGCACTAGCTTAAATGGCTTTTGAATTGGGCTTGCAGTGCCAACAAAATAAAAGTGAAACATCAAATGCTAATATTATGCATTTGTACCTGGGGTTTGTTTATTTGAATGTAACAATTTCCTATCTTGAAAACCTGACTTTCCAATGCTACTTGCTTATTTAAATTATGAAAATGAACAGTGTTATATTCCCTAGGTGCAAATTGGTATAATGTACTGAATAACACATTCTTAAAGCATCAAGCTGCACTTCAGACAAGTTTTTTCTGGGTCTCAGGATGCAGTTAATCTCTCTCACACACACTCCACACACAGAGTTACTAACAAAACTGAAAATCTGAAATCTTAAAGCAAAATACTTTGGCTTCCACCTTCTTTACCTGCTTTCTTATGAATCAGCATGTCCTGTAGCCAAAGTGTCAGTTACCAAACAGAGAAGAATGAATGAATGAAAATATATTCCTCCCTCCCTCCCTCCCTTTCCCCCTGATGTGAAAGCAGCCACTGTTGCATTTCCAGGCATTGTGACACTCAGTATGTAATCAATATTAATATCTATGTCATTTTTTGTAGTACAAAATGGCCAGGCAGCTCTAGGGGGCACCAAGATTGAAGTGCACAAATACATGTCAAAGGCCCATTCACACCTGGTCTCTGGCCCACTTATCTGTAATTTTACTAAAAGTCTTATTAATGTCATCCAATTAGCTATGCAATAAAAACATTCACACCAGGCTGCAACTGCTGAATGCCTTCTCATGTCCTAAGATCAGGAGAATTACAGTGGTGGTGGTGGGGGGGGGGGACAGAATGGACCATCCACCTAAGTCTTTTCAGGAACATCCTGGATCATAAGCTGTTCATGCAGGCGCATCTTCATGTTATCACAAGCCTAGTGAGAGGGGACTGTGAAACTTTGAAAATGGTAAACAAGGGGGAAACCACAATGGGGCAAAAGTCTTGAATGTGATATGGTAAAGATTTATAAATCTTCTTCCAGAGATTGCATTACAGATCTGGTCACCTTTACTGTCGGCCACTTGTTTATTGCTTTCATATTGTTGCAACATACCATCAGTACTCCCTGGTAACTTACGGGCAGTAAATATGTGGTGGTGTTGACTGAACTGTTTGAAGACACCCAAGGCAGCAAGGGCTCATTTTAAATATTGTATCTTGTTTCAGAGTTTACACACAGGAATTGATGGTCTCAAGAAGCAAATGAAATATAGCTCCTCTGTTGATCCCCTAATCCAAGACAAGCCATCCTATATACTAATAGCAAATTTGTTATCCAAGTCTGAATTCTTAGGTAGTCAAAATAGGTCCATACATGGACAAAAAGGCTTTGGTAAGTATAGGAGAACCTCAAGGCTTACAGGAGTACAAAAACAGCTTTAAGGGGGAAAAGCCAAAAGATGCAAAACAAAACAACCAGCCACACACCCTCCCAAACAGCCTGTGCTGAACTTCATAAGCACAGATTACTGACTGACCCAGGGGAGGGGGGAAGAAAACCAGGGGAAAAGGAAGGGAATGGAGTATCCTGGAAATAGCATGACTGGCTGCCAAATTTCTGAACAGGAGCACTCCACTCTGCAATACTTTATTGCAGGTCCCTTGTATATCATTAGCCAGGCTGTATGGCTAATAGAAGACAGTGGTTACTGTTGATCATAGTCTGTAAGAATTTCAAAGTTTTGTTTCCATAAGATACCATATATATAAAAAGTCTCAAGTAATATGTAACAGTATTTCCAGTGCTAATGAAGGCCAAATGATAGCCTGGAAAGTGGATACTGAAGTCTTCTACTTAACCTTTGCAGTTCTAGGAATGGAAATTACTAAAAGGAATGTTAAAGACTGGATAATATAAAAGAACGAAATATCCACTTTCAGCTACATTTTGGATTTCTGACTTGTTCTCCAACCCTAAATTAATCACTGAAAAATATTGAGGGACAATGTTTTAAATATTCAACTGCAAACAAGAAGTGTGTTTTCACATGTTTATTTTCCGCTGCTTCTCCAAAAAGCCCAGTATGCCTCATTGATTTGCTTCCATTTATTCTAACAACTCTCGTGTTAGGTTGAAACGTGATCATGACGGAGTGGAAGGTCTCTGACCTTCCATATACTATACCACACTGGCTCCAATATGTAGCTTGCCAATCCACACAGGCAAGTCAACAATTGAAGTTCTGCACTGTATTCTCTGAACTGAAATTTGCCAGAAGAATATAAAAGACAGGGCCTTTTGAGTCATTGCACCCTTGTGCAAAGAGAGGCCTGTGTAATTTCCACTGCTCAGTGGAAACACGGTAATTTAGCAGGGCTTCTAGAGAGGGAATAATCTTGATTTCTGGATGGCTTGCATTTTGTTGCTTGATTGGAAATTTTATTGTATTGTCTGATGTGTGTGATGAAATGTGAGCTATAAGCATCTAAATAAATATTTGGACTGTTGTCTTACAGAAAAAAAGTTTGCATAATTCTGAAGCAATCTAGCTATAAACAGCTGTGGATACCCACAAACCAATACAGAGTTAAGTTGTCATAAAGCAAGAGTCTAAGCATGTTTACTCACAAGTAAATTATACTGAGTTCAGTAAGATTTACCTTCTAGGATTGCAGCCTAAAACTTACTGGAACTCTGTTGGATCTTACCTGATATCAGAATGCAACATTATCACTGTGGATTTAATGCACTTATGAAGTAGGCTTAAATACCTAGGTTCCCTAGTTATTTGCATTCTACAGTCTTAAGAACTCTGCATGGAAAGATCCACTGTTTTCTTAGAAAAATTTTCAGCCTCATCTTTTCTTTTTTAAGACTAGAATGTTCAGATCTGTTTTTGGATGCTACCCAGGGGTCCTTGTTGGAAACATTCTTATTTTGTAGTAATTTAAGTAACCAATATATATGAGTGCAAAAGGTGAGTGAACTACTTATTTAGTTTTTTGCCTGCTAGAAAACTATACAAAACAATGTACTTTAATTAATGGTAATTAAAATTCACTATGTTTCCACTTCTTGATTACTTTTAATTACTGGTTCCACCAATGAACACCATCTAACATCACACACCATGTATATCCCAGCGATTATGCCCAGGTTCTAGGGATCATTTAATTTCCTCCTTGGCCTGATTTATGTTATTTCTTGCATCATTAACTGGTGAGATTTTTTACTTCTGCTACTATGGCTAAGGCAAAAACAAAAACAAAACATCAGGGCAGTTACTGTCAGCGTAACCAACCTCTTTCACAGGGTTCTTGTAAAGCTAGAAGTGGGAGGAGACAGACTTTCCTTTGCCAGTCTCAACTCCTTGAAGGGAAGGCAAGATAAAAACGTAATGAAGGACAATAAAGTAACATTGAAGGAATGATATAAACTCTGTGTTCCATAGAAAATACATGTCAGGCTGAGACTGTCTTTAAGCAAACCTGTGCATAAGTTTGGTCGAAAACAACACGCATCCCCTCCCAAGGACTGCAGCGCCCAAGTTATTTCCCAACGGCTGTTTTGAAATAAGGGAGGGGGTGCTTATCGAGGTTAATTTTAAACCTTTCTTTACTCTTCCACGTGGAAAAGGCTCTGAAACAAGGCGAGCACTGAAGCTGCCCTTCCTTTGGTGTGGCCGTGCACAGGTTCTACAACATAATACGTAACAATTTAGGCTAACGTGAGACACAGCTGCAGCTCGCGCGCAAGCTGAATAAGGAAACCGGACACAAACAGCGCGCACATTACACACACACCCCACACGCGACCAGGTCAAAAGTTGACTGCCTCGCCAGCTTCCCCTCGGATCTTTCTCATTCCGTCCTGGCAGTTCTGATTTTCCGTCCAAGGTAACAAGTAGCGTCAGGGCTCGCGAGGGACTTAGCCGGGGATCGTCGTGTCCGTTCCTGCTGGCTAAAGGTCCGGGCCGGATTTTGCACCTTGTCCCCGGGTCTGCCTCACGGCCTGGAGGAGCTGGAGCTGCTGCTGCTGTTTATTGAGCGCTCTTGTCCTGGTATCACTCCGCTGGCATGGAGGAGGAGGAGGTGGAGGAGGCGAGCACTTGATCATTGTGATGGTGGCAGGAGGAGAAGCCGCAAGCAGAGCTCAGCACTAGTCTGGCTCTGTGTGCGTGTGCGCGCGCGCGTGCAGCAGCAGCAGCAGCAGCAGCTCGACGTACGTTTCGCAAATACTTCAGCGAGCTACTTTTGCGGATTGTTCACGTGTTGACTTCCCCCAGCTTGAGGATATGCTTTTTAAGGTTCCCGTTGAAAAATACAACTGAGCAGCTAAAGTACTTTTGAGAACACGGTGCGGCATAAACACCCAAACTTTTTTTCCTCCCCACCCCCGGAAAGAAAACACAATAAGAAAGCGGCGTTGCCTGTCTTCCGATGGTGTGGAGTGTGAGTGTGTTGTTGGGTGTGTGTGTGTGTGTGTATGCAGTATGCCCGGTGTATGCCTGCCCTAGGTGTCTTGTGAGTGTGTGTGTGCGCGCGCGTGTGGATAGAAGTGTGTGTGGATAGATTCCTGTCTATATGCACGCATGTGGGTGCGCGTCTCTGTCTTGCTTTCTTGTTTTAATACATGGGGGATACCGAGAAGGTTTTCGTCCGGAATCTGTTTTGGAAATGATGGATTATTTAAAGGGGGACTGATCTGATCTCTTCTCCCTGGAGTTTGCAACCGAACTGCTGCTGATCGGTTTGTTGGGATTCCTTCTGTGTTTGTTGATTGTGTCTGGCGATAACCTTACAGCACCACCTCCTGGGTTTGGGCTTTTTTGGTTTTCTTTCGGCATTTGTTTGCCCCCTCCCGCCACGCCGGAGAGGATCGACAAGGAGTGGGAGAGAGGGAGAGGATTTTTCCCCTTTTTTTAAAAATCTGAACAACCCTAAACATTTTGTCTGCGATCTACTGCTTCCCTCTCCATGGTCCGGTAAAGCGCGTCCCAACAGGAGGACCCCCGTGTTTGTGCCTGGTGTGTGGCGCCCGCGTGTAAAAGGAAAAGTTATTCCAAAATAGTGTGCACGGGGAAGGAGATGGGGGATTTTCCAACCCCCGCTGCCGCCGCAAATGGCAGCAGCATTTGTCTCAACAATAACCTGAGCAGCAGCCTCGGCGGGGCCGGTATCGGCGTGAATAACGCTCCCCACGGCCCTCCTCCCGGTAACAGCACTACTCATAGCGGCGGCGGCGCTAACGCGAGCAGCGGCATTCCCAAGCACAGCACCGTGGTGGAGAGGCTCAGGCAGCGCATCGAGGGCTGCAGGAGGCACCACGTCAACTGCGAGAACAGGTACCAGCAAGCCCAGGCCGAGCAGCTGGAGCTCGAGCGAAGGGACACGGTGAGCCTTTATCAGAGGACCCTGGAGCAAAGGGCCAAGAAATCGGGCACTGGCGGCGGCGGCGGCGGCAACAGCAAGCAACAGCATCCCAGCAAACAGCCTCAAGATGCCGAGTCTTCCACGGCGGAGCAGAGGAACCACACACTGATCATGGTAAGGGGGCGGGCAAGGGGGGCTGGAGGGCGGCTGCTACTGCTGAGCGCTTGTGGGTTGGCGCGCTCTCATTCGGAGTTCTCGCTTCTCGCCTGAACGGATGTAGGAGTTTGGGAGGGGAGCGAGCGAGCGAACGAGCGGGATGCTTGGCTGAAGTCGGGGAATGGGCGGAGAGAGGAAACTTTGGTCCTATAACTAATAAGGGAATCCAGGAAGCAAGACGAACTGTTTGGAGGGGAGTTGAAACCTCTGCGCTGGTGGGGACGGCCAAGGCAGTGTCATCACTCGCCTTGCCAGTTCCTGACAGCCTTTGAAACAGGAGGCAGCTTTTCGCGTTAATCTGCCACCCAGGAAACGACTCTTCACCTCAACGTCCCCGCTTTCCCCACTTGCCGGCGATTGACTAACAAATAGCTGGGGCCTTGGGCTTTTCACGCCTTGGAAAAAGCAGCACATTCTGGAGCCGCTCCTCTTGACAAGTCTCGGGGATGTTGCGAGGCAGCAGGGCGGCACGGGAAAGACCGGGGAGAGAATGCGCACGTGTGCATCCGCAAGTGTAGGAGCGTGTCTGAAAGGGTGCTCGCTGGCTCTTTAAATCCAGCAGAGGGAGAACTCGTGGGCTGGCTTTGCCGAGCGGGAGTGACAGTCCTCAGGAAGAAAAGTTGGGCAGGTTCCTCGTGCGCATGCGTGACTGTGGTGCGGCGCGGCCCAATCAAGTCTCTCTAAACTAGCCCAGCCACTCAGCAGCCGCCTGGGCTGGCTTTTTTTATTCTAAAGTTTCCTCGGCCTTTTAAGAGGCTTAGAAGAGAACAGTGAAGGGGAGGGAGCTAATCTGCTGTGGCGTAATGACTGCTCGTAGGAAGTGGCGCTTCATAACACACCCAGGCTATGCCAGTGATAAAGAATAAAAAACCGATGGGTCGCAGAAGCGCGTCTGCAAACAATACGCATGCCCCATAGGTGACATGTTCCTATTCAGGCTTCTCTTGAACATCTTCAAGGAAGGACAATCCGCTGCTGAGCCGCTTTGGTCAAAACGATTAGGGGCAACCCCCGTCCTTGATACTCAACCCCCGGTTGGTCTTAGTCCCCTTCAAAAAGGTCTGCGAGGGGAGTCGCACAGTGGAGTCACGCTGCTTTATAGATCCGTTGTCAGTAAAGCCGCTTTCCTCCTGCCTTATAGGTGTAGCCAAGTAAAGCTAGTACAGTTATAGAAGAGACTCAGATATTATGCATTCGGTGCTTATGGTTGAGTGTTGCTTCTCCGAATCCAAGCTAATCACGGGCGGAAGGCGAGCATTCTTGATACAGTTTGCAATCGTGCTCTAGGGTTTGTTTACTTAATGTTCGGTGGATCTGATAAGCCTGCATAACCGGGTAACCACTTATAAAACTTCTCCTGTTTTCTTACAGGAGAAAGAAAACTCCTAGAAAGCCAGTTCTGAAAGTATAGTTAGTGAACATTAACCTTTCAGTAGTAGCTTCCAAGATTGCAATCCAAAAGTCGCTTACTGTGGGAGTAGTAAGCCCATTGCACAGAGTGAGTAAACGTGAACAAGCCTGCCCTGCAAGTGTTCGACCAAGGTTTGACGTTGCTCAGCACTCCGAGAAGCATGTGCTTACATTTGAACGGGAGGACGGGCTGGCTGGCATGATTCATGGTCCATTTACTTTCCCCCACTTACGGCTGGTGTAAGAGACAGGAGCGGCTCGTTTCTTAGCCGGAAGCGAGCTGGAACAGCTCCCCCTCTGCGGCTGCCCACCTTCGGAAAGCCACCCAGCGGCAGCTGGCGTCTGCCTGACAAAGCCCTGCTGGTCCCTCCCCTCCGAAAGTGGGTGGGAGGCACGGAGGGCGCGGACTGACGGCGGGGTTAGCCGCAGTGGCAGCCCAGGAGCTTGGGTGGGTGTTGCGGCGACAAAGAGGCGAGGGGGGAGGGAGGCCGGGGATGTTGACACTCCTCTTGCTCCAGACTGCTGCCGCCCCGCCTCCTCCTCCCACGTCCAGAAAGGGACAATCGTGGCTCTGGGACTCTCCCCACGGCGCGCTCCCCCCCCCCCCCCCCTCCCCCGGGGCCCCCCCCCCCCCCCCCCCCCCCCCCCCCCCCGGTTCCCTGGTGCTGCCTCAACGCCCGCCGCCTTCGCCGCCGCGCGAAAGGCCGGCTCGGTCGCGACCGCAGGCAGAGCCCGGTGCCCCTTCCCCCGCCTCCCGGGAGCGGTGCGGTGCTTTGTCTGCCCTATCGACCGCTCAATGGTGCGGGTGGGGGATGAGCTCGACGCGACCCAAATTGCGCCCCTCCCGTAGGCAAACGTGATACGGCGCGCGTTCCTCCTCCTCCTCCTCCTCCTCTTAGGCGTGGAAAAACCGCCTCCCACTCTCCCCCCACCCCCTATTTCCTAGCTCTGCACTGGCCGGGAAGACGAAGCTGCCGCTGCTGCTCTTCGTTTTCCGCGGCGAGAGGGAACGCCCGTGTTGGAGACGGCGGGGTATTTCTCCAGTGCAGCCCTGAGGAGGAGGAGGAGGAGGAGGAGGAGGAGGGGTTGAGACAGGCAGATAAGGCGCTCATCCCGCACATGCATCTCACTCCCCCCCCCCCCCCCACCTGGCGTGCGAGCAGTCTGCGGAGAAAGACGCACGGAAAGAGGCTCGCAGACAGGGAGGGAGGGACTGAGGGGAATAGGCAGGAAGAAAGGAGAGAGACGGACGAGTCGGAGAAAAGCACAAAGGGAGGCACCTGACTCGCAAACAGGAAGCCGACAGGGCTGTGTATGTGATGTGGTTTTCTTGGCCCTTCCAGAAGAGAAGAGGCGAGTCTGAAAGCTTTCGTTCCCTAGCAGGATTTGGGCACAGTCCTAAGTTGCACCCCCTCCTCGCCCCATAATGGGTGTTCTTGGAACATAGAGTTCTCTAAGGACTTGGCCAGTGAGTGTATGCAAACAAAGCCTTTATATGCCACCCATCCCTTGCTTTAATCCTCCCTCCCCAGTTCCATAGCCAAACAATTTCTTCTCTATCCCACGTTTCAGATGGGATTTGGAATTGCTCTTGCATTTGCGGACTCTCCTCTCCGTGGGGGTTTCAACGTGCTGGGCAGGTCCAGTTTCTTTCCCCCACCCCCTCTGGAATGATTGCTTCCACCAGAAATAATAAACCAGATGTTGTAACATCTGTGTGAGTTTCCTTGATTTGACTCATATTGAATAACATCCCGGTATTTAAGTTATAGTCTTCACTTGAAGTTTAATTATTATTGCATGGTTTGTATTTGTGTCTAAAATACCCTTTCTAGGTTTCATTTCTGTAGCAGTTTTGAGTAGCAAAATACAGGGAAGTAGCATAAAGGTCATCTGTTATCTCTCATTACTTAAGATTTTAGACCTAAAGCAATGAATTGTTCCCCCACTTCACCCTTTCCCACCCTTGGTATGGTTGCCTGACCCAATTGCCTCAGTATGTCTTCTGAGTGAACATGGAGAAGATTTTACTACTCATCTCTAAAAGACAGAGTGGCTTAAAATTGTGTTATCCATTAAATCCATAGTTAGGGGCATTTATATTAAACTTTCTATATAATTGAAGTATACTGTATCAATGTTCACTGCACTGTTTAATAATTTATATTTACAGCCATGTAAATAAAGCTGAAAGTTTTACTGATCAGATTAGAGAAAGAGATCTACAGAAAAGGCCATGGTCAAGATTTGCATGATGTTGGAGAGTAAATTATATCAGATGTCCCTAATGATTAGTAGGAAGCTGCCGGAGAGGTGAAGAGTTCTTTTACGGTACCTTTAAATCTAGTTTAAAGACACATTTCTTTAACTGTGGCTTCCCCCTTGCTCCTAATTCGTGAAACATGAGCAGTGGTGGACATACACATTGGCTGAAAAGGTTGGGGCTCATGGGACAGATTTTGCAAGAGTACTGGAAGCCCACATATCTTTGTTTTCCTTTTTTCCAAACACTGAATAGAGAGAAGAACTTGCCTCAACTGAGTTGTTTTGATTTTGCTTTAGTGCTTCAGAAGACCTAAGCTATTTTTCTCCCTGACTTAGGCTACAGAATGTTCTGAGAAACATCATTATGTAGGGTTCCTGAACAGCTGATTATCTTTTAAAAAAAACCCCAAAACAAAACAGACATATTCTTTGACTAGGAATGTCAAAGGCGTTCAGCTAAAGCAAGTTAGTGGCTTGGATTTCCAGAATCTATACTATATGGTCGGAGCAGAATGTTCTTGCAAATCTGGCATAGTCTTTCTACTCTCACTGAGATGTTTGCATGCTTGGAGCACAGCTGTGTTACTGGCACAGCAGCATTTTGCCAGGGCCATCCCTCTAAATCAGGAATGAGGAGCTTTTGGCCTTCCAGATGACCCCCCCCCCCAAGAGCCACATCCAGCGTGGCCACTGGCTAGGGATGATTGGCTCTGTAGTACAGCATCTGGATGGCATTCGTTTTTCTACAAACTTGCTCTAAATGGAGGCATCTCTGCATTTTGCTATCCAATGGCCCACACTTGGCTAGGCTTTGATCCTTTTTCTGCTGTGGGCAGAAGCCAGATCTATCTCTTTTTACTGTCCAGGAGGAATTTGGAAAGCTTTTCAACAGCTTTGCAGAAATTTTTATTCATTTTTCTAAGGAGTTGTTGCTTATACCTAGAAAAATGTTTAAGTAGATAGCCATGTAAAGTCAAATTGGTAAATTTTATATGAACATTTGCAAAATAGAGTACATTAACTGTTAGTCACTTTCTGTTGTCTATACATGTTTCCTTAACCAATCATGGTTCTAAGCAAGAAAAAATTAATGCATATGATTGTGCTAAAAGGATGCAGGCAACAGAAACTGCATGTTCTTGTGAAGCAACTTCCTATGATTTCAAAGGGACATATTCTCACATCAGCATGTCTAGAGCTACATTTGTTGTTAAAACTGAAATGTGACCAGTGCCCCATCTTAACAAAGTACCTTCTACCAGATATTTGCCCATATTTGAAAG